GACTGGACTATTGCAATGGTTTATTATCTGGGTGTCCAAATACGTCTTTAAAACGTCTTCAGTTGATCCAAAATGCTGCTGCCAGAGTCTTAACTGGAGTTACTGGGAGAGATCATATCTCTCCAGTTTTAGCTTCTCTCCATTGGCTCCCTGTCAAATCCAGAATAGAATTCAAAATCTTACTTCTAACCTACAAAGCTCTCAACAACCTAGCTCCATCTTATATTACAGATCTTATTGTTCCATATTTCTTTAACAGAGCACTTCACTCTCAGACTGCAGGTTTACTTGTGGTTCTTAGAGTTTCCAAACGCAGAATGGGAGGAAGATCTTTCAGTTCTCAGGCTCCTCTCTTGTGGAACCAACTTCCAGATTCTGTCCATGAGGCTGACACATTGTTTAATTTTTAAGATGAGTCCTTTTTGATAAATCCTATAGTTAGGGTCAGCGTGGATTTCCTGAGGTATCCTTTAGTTATTTGGGCGGCTGTGGCTGAGTGGTTTGATGAGTCGTCCTCCAAGTCAAGAGTTGGGGTTCGATTCCACCAGCAATCACATTTGAATAGAATTTAATTAACCAAGTATTGGTAGGAGTGTTACGGAAATAAAGTCTCAAAAGTCACATTCATGACCAAGCTGTTCCATCCAGAGCACGTTTTATTTACATGTATTTAATAATTTGTACGTGCAGCATGTTCCTACTTGTGACGTTTGAAATGTGCACATTTGAAAAACTGTTGATGCATTTGTGAACCTTGCAGTACGTTTGTACGATCATGAAAATAGACTGGGTAAAATAAAGAATTAAAAACCCTAAATTAGGGAAATTTAGCCCCTGATGAGTGGATGGAAGTCACAACTGAATGCTTAAGTGAAGGAGAAGTTTTAAAAGTTTTTTTTTTTTTAAATAATGCGGTACTTGGTGGACGTGCGGCGCTCACATATTAGTGTTATTTTTCTCATCTAATCAGTTTTTAAGTGTTAGGAACTCATCCAGAGCTGTGGAGTAGTCAAAGACGTTTAATTTGCGATTCTTATTTCACATTTGGGCCTTTCGGTCGAGTTAAAACGAGCCCAGTTCTGTTTTCTCGTTTGTTATTTGAGCTGAGCTGAGGGTTTTCAGAGATCGCTGCTCATTTTTCCACTAGTTTGAAACTTCAGACACTTTTTTCAAGTTCATATTTGTCTGCGTGGTTAATGAGATTTTCTTCAGTGATTTGAAGAACACAGCATTTTTATTCCCTCTTCACAGACTTCGACCACGTCCTTCACTCCCAATTTAATTTCATCTATAATAGTCTCTGAGGAAATCTGGGTTTGTAAGGTTCGTTGGTTGAGGTCTTCTCGTGTCACCTCACTGGCACGCAAACAGAAAACGTTGTGATTCAATGGTCAATTAAAACGTCTCTTTTCTCTCTCTGAACAGAAATGACAAGAAAAGCAACAAACAAGATCTCAACCTGAAGCTGCATTTACACAAACTTGGAGTGAACTCTCAGCAGTTACTGTTCACACATGTAGGTCATTCTGGGAAATGTTGGGCCTCGTTTAAAAATTACTTTCTAACTCTGTGATTCCAACAATTTCTGGAGAAAAACGTTGGAACGTCCACTTGTTCACTTGTGACGGAACATTTCTGGAAAACGGTACTGAGTTAATGTGTCTAAAGGGCTTCAAACTTTACTTAATTGTATCCAGTGGCAAAATAAATGGCCTCAGTAAGTAATCAGGTAAGTACTCGGTAAGTACCATGCAGTATAAGGTGATGCAACTCAGGAGGGATTACGGTTGATTAATCTCAATTTGTTTTCCAGCTTTCAGAGAAGAAATCCAATCGAGCATGGATTACTGAACGACAGGTAAACCTGATAGGATTGGTCAAATATTAAAGTTTAATACTTACAATATATTTTTGGCATTTTTACACCCGAGTGGGGAAAAAACAATCTAGACTTTACGGTAACATTAGGTACCAACAAAGTCCATGCTCAATAATCCAGATATACAATCCAACAATTTTCAGTCTTTGCCTTTGTTGGTTTTGAACCAGTTTGACATGACTGTCGACGAGGGAGAGGGCCGGCACCGGAGGAGGGGGTGTGCCAAAGACACCATCTTAGCACCAACATAACTGATTTGTTCCACTTTGGAGTAAGAAAAAGATTCGTAGGCTCAATCATCCAGTGTTTCGACTGATGAAGCCTTCTGGATGGAAGGTGAAACGTATCAGGACAAAAAAAAAAACTGTCCAGATGACCGGACTGAAAATTGTTGCGTAACATTAGGTAGTTGATGTTGATCAACACTAACATCAACAGTTTCATTCTTCTGCTCTACCTGAAGAAGAAACAAGTCGTATAAATGATCTTCCCTGACCGTACCTTCATCGAAGTTCATTAAACCTCCTGTTTCTCACTTTCTGACCCGTATTTTACTTTTTTCATATATCCTTAATTTATACAGATAGTCTCAATGAGTCAAGAGAACTCCTTTTCAGGAGAGACCTGTTTTTGGGAGCAGATGGTGGGGGTTAAGGGCCTTGCTCAGGGACCCAGAGTGGGGTAAGTGAAGGTGGAGGCAGGTGTGGGTGTTTCACCTTTTCCACCCACATTTTGATGTTGACTGTACCGGGAGTTGAACCTGCGACTTTCCGATCACAGGCCCATCTTCACTAGCCTCTGCGCCACCACTCCCTTAATGTTCAGGTAGGACCTCACTGGGGCGTTTGCGAGAACGTCTCAAGAGTTTTCGGGGGTTCTCAGTTTTGTTGCTTGAATTTAAGATGTGCAGTTCCAGCACTGGAGTTCTGAATGCGTTTAAAAAAATTAACCTCAATTATTGTCAAAACCTGCCTTGACTTAGAGCTGTACTCATTCATTCATTCATTCATTCAACCTTTATTTATACAGGTTAATCCCATTGAGCCTCGGGGACTCATTTACGAGAGAGACCTGTACAGGAGCTCTCGTCTGATAAAACAAGTTCAGGTCGAAAAACCTCATCATTGATAGATGTTTATTATAAACGGGTCCAAATCAGTTTATTTTTACCTTCAGTTATATATATATATATATATATATATATATATATATATATATATATAT